TACCACTGACCTTCCCCACAATGATGGTGTCAGAGACCTTACACGTGATACAAGCCAACTTCTTACCCTAACAATGCCCTCTCCCATTCTATGCCCCATCACACCACATTAGGATGGTGCTCTGGTTGTAGAATTGCAAAGAAAAGGTCCTATTGTCCGAGGGAAGACCACTGTGACTGGACAGGGTGAGTGTGGACGGCCTGGGGATTGATGTACTCAAACACAGTGGCTCCATTATCAAATTCTGTACCAGAGACTCTTGTCAATCAACACTAAGCCCCAAATACAAGGTGAGATGTTAAGTACCTCTGATCAAATAAGAACCTGAAAGTCAAATAAACCAGGTGACCCAGGCACGCCAGGTGTGCAAAACCACATATATAGAGAAAAGAAGGACTTAGTGGAGCAGGGTCTGTTGATTTAGTTACTGGGGCTGTTCAGCCACCCACTCCTTCATAGAATAAACACAGAGCACAGAGATGGGGTCCCACCAAGTCATATAAAACTAAATCTGCTTTTTCTAAGAAATACTCAGTTCTATGAGACTATCATTTCCTGGCTCATTCTCACTGTCTAATTTATTGTCTCCTCTAAACCCACGTCACAGCGATGTCAGTGGAAATAAGACATTAAGCAGCCTGAAGGCAGATGAATGTTTGGTTCACACTGAACTGACAGTCACAGCTTTTGAAATTCTTACTTTTGAGTCCATGGCTGTGTGATACGGTCGCCCTCACTCCCCAGCTGCCTAGACTGGAGTCCTTCTCCCTGTGGTGGGCTCTGACCTGAAATGGGAGGAGTAGAGAAGACAGTGTTGAGGAAAGAGAGTGTGGCAGGTTCTCCACCTTCAGCCTTTCATCCGGGCTGATTTCTAGGGAACAGCGGACTTCTTGTTGCAGAAAAGGTGGTTCAACCACTGGCATCCAATTCCACAGATTCGGCCTCAGTGGACCCTTCAGATCCTGAACAAACACTGGGTGTGAGGTCTCTACAAACCCTTCATCCCCTGCCTTCAGACTGTGCACTCACTTCACATTTTGCATCAGATGAACTGGGATTGGCCATGCTGTCTCTGATCTGCCTTACAGTGAAAACAATTCCTTGAATGTGCCTCCTACTAAGTGTTTACCTCCCGAATTCATGATTATCTGGTTCTAAATTTGCATACTCCTCCAACTCTGAACGTTCACAAGACCCACATGTCTCAAAAGCCTGTGATGCGCAAAGCCAAGCTGCTCCCAGCAGGACCTGACTGCGCATGCCCAGCACTGCTCCACTCAAGTCCTGTCTGAAGCCAGAGAGCCCGGGAAGCAGGGACTGGAGGGGCTGGAGCCAGCTGTCCGGACTCAGGGGAGACGCCGATCCCGGACGTCCCGGACGCCTAGACTCTGCCCGTGTACGATGCACCGTGTCACCGGAGGACGCACACGACATTACCTGGGAATGCACCGAGACACAGCCAGTCCCCAGCGGGCCGAGTCGGACCAGCGCGGCTCCAGGAGATGCCCCGTTTCGGGAGCAGCCCCGGGACGACGGAGAGGCCGGCCCTGAGCAGGAGAGCCAGCGCATGAGGCTTCGCTCCCGGCAGGGCCTCCCGTACTACCGCAGTGATGGAAGGAAACACGCGGCACCGTCGTGGAACCGAGCGAGGGGAAATGTGGCGCTTGGCAGTGACGCCACTTCCGTTTCCTGATAAGCGCGTTGAGAAACCCTAAGGTACCAGGGTGAGAAACGGAAACGCGGCACGTGTCCTGACCCAGAGGTTTCCCCAGTGCTCTGAGATTCTGTCCCTTCTCCTGGGTTTGGATCTGTAAGGACTTGAAGAATGGAGAATCGCCTGTTGATTTAATTGTGTATATATCA